ATTTCTCCCGCCTTCTTGGTGTGGTGGTCTGCACACTGGGCATGTATTCCAGAGGTCCTCGGTTCGATTCTCGGGGAAAGCGCTTGTTCATTTTTCATTTGTTCCTGTTTTAAAAAAAAATTCTAATGTCTCTACAAGTGTTGTACCTTCATATAGAGTTTCTGGGATTGTAACCTGGTTAATCTATTTTAAGGCTCCAATAAGGCACTAATAAAGCAGAGGTGATAAGTTGTTTTGTATTATTTTAAGTCTCCCTAGATGCAAAGAATAAGTTTATAATAGTTTTTACATTTTCGTGCATTATCTTGTGGCCACAGTAATGATTAATGAAAAGCAATAACTTGCTTTAATATGCATTTAAAGATGAGCAGTTAGTTATAAATAATTAAATTAGGTAGTTAAATACCCTCAGTCGTTATAGATTTACATGGCCATTATTAAAATCACAAATCTAATAACATTTTACAGCTTAAAATACACATAATTTATGACACACAATTTATGAACAAAATTGAAATTCTTAAACAGTATTAGGATAATTACACATTAAAAGTTACAAAACAAAATAGTTATGCGTTGTTTTAATTCGAAGTGTTCCTAGATATTTTATATCTAATTTATATCAATTTTCTTCTCTTTAAACATCTTTTCTAACAATTAGAAATCTGTTTCAGTACACAAACCAATGTTCCCAGTAGTTTCTGCATGCTTTATCTCCTAACTTGTAATCTCTCAACAATGTACCTAACGAGGTTTTACATGATCTGGTAAAAGTTAAATAATCCAAAAACCTCTCATAGACATGAAGCAAATTATCGTTATGTCTAAAGGTAACTACAGCGTCACATAAAGATTTAAATATATCTCTCATTTAAAAAGACTATGGAACATACAGGCACGTTCTTATGTTACGTTGACTTAAGAAACTACAGCTTTTGGTGATGCAAGTAAACAGGAACAGCCAAATTCAAACAAAAAATGTGGACTAGTATTCAAAGACTACACAATTTAAATTTAATCTAAGGTGACTCAGTAACTTTATTGTAGTAACAAATTCAAATATTAGCAATGATAATGCAAAGATGAATAATTACAAATTATCAGATGTAGCAGGAACTCAGGCAACATCCAAGTGGAGAGCATAAACTTTCTGTCTTACAATCCAAAAATATCAGTTAAAAACTATCTAAACTTTCTGTCTTACAATCCAAAAATATCAGTTAAAAAACTATCTAAACTTTCTGTCTTACAATCCAAAAATATCAGTTAAAAACTATCTGATTTGCATTATGGTGAGGAAACGGAAAGGGAAAGCTATAGTAAATGCTAAAATTCTAAACAACTGATTAATTTGCATATGTATTCAGTTTCTTTCAATATGTTTCCTCTTCACTTCAGAATTTTTGGAATTAAAGATTTCTGTTATTCTAAAAAACAAATTCATTTAGAATATAAAGGAAAAGCTGCTAATTTTATTTCTTTAGTAATATGAACATTCAGAATAAATATGAAATTATATGTGGTAAGAACTGGTTTGAGTTGATGAGGCAGAATTTTTAGATTTGAGTGACATGCCGAGCAACAAAATCCAGAAATGGCAAAACATTTTAGAATTTAGGACCGGGACTGGAAGCAGAATTTAAGAGAGCATTAAGCAGCAGAATTTAGGAAAGCACTAGCAGCAGAATTTAAGAACTACAGAGATTTCATCAGGTGGGAAAAAGGCCCAGCGCCAGCCCTGTGTATGATCGATTGAGATGTATAATGTGAATCTTTTAAATTGTCAGTTTTAAATTTCTTTATTAATAAAAAAATTCTTTTTTTATAAATGACTGTCCAGGTGAAAAGATTAGAAACATTTTTGGTATTTTCGATGCCTGTGTCTAGTGAAAAGTTGAGAAAATAAAGAGAAGATAAAAAGAAAAAGACTTCTAGCATCAGAAGTACAACATTCAAACATTATATTTTCAGTGTCCTTCCAAAAATTCTTCACAATGTATGAAATTCATCATAAAATTTCTGTAAAATACATCCATTATGTGTTGTTAATACAATGAAGATATTTTTTATTTTGTCACATTTTAATGGAGCCTTCTAGGATTGTGGGTCTGTAAATCTTGCCTTCAAATCCTTCTAAAACTATCCAAGTTGCAGTGTCTAAAATCCTAAAGAAAAATTAGCCCTACCAATTCTGTAATAGAAAAAAGGCCAGAAATAGTTTGAAAAAAAAATCAGTGGAAAAAAGTGTGAAATTAATTTTATAGAGAAAACTGATGCATATTCTAATAATTCTGAAACAATTACATGGAAAAACTTTTTACCATGAAAAAATTGAAGAAATTTTTAATTATTTACATAGCTATTTTGCTTTTGCTATGAATTGTTTTGTAAACTGTGCTTTATAACATTTATTATTTTTGTTTATTTTTCATATTCCAAATACTGTATAATAAATAGCCAAAACGGAAAGTAATGTCTCTTCATAATCCGAGAGGAAAAAAAATAAATAAATGTTGTATTTTAACGTTATTTCCTAAATATAATTTCAATATACTACCATTAATTTAGTTAAATTTATCAAAGTTATAATGTTTTTTAAAAAAATCGATGAACAATTCCCAGATCTCCGAATTAAAAATTTTCTATAGAAAGTGATATTAAAATCGCCGAAATGCTGAAAAGTCACCAAATTTCGAGCCGTTTTATAAAAGAATTCACATCTACAAAAGTGGAAAGTTGTTTAAGAGCTTTTCATTAGAAAAAAGTGAAAAAAATTTGAAATGCTTATGTTTCACTTCTTGCTCAGAAACTCCAAGTACCCAACCCTTTCTATTAGAAATAGGAACAAATTATAACCCATGAACTCATTCAAAAGATAATCATATTTGTCAGTGAATCGCCAAAAATATTCCTCCGAAATGGCAATTCACACTCAAAATAGCAGTCGTAAAAACAAGACCGAAATTTCAGATGATTAAAATTAAGGACCTTCTGATGATTTTGGCCGAAATTCAGGACTTTTAAGGACCAAAAATCGATTTAAAAAAATTTCAGGACTTTTAAGGACTCTTAAGGACCATACGAACCCTGATAAACTCCTCTGCAGCATCTTTATCTGCTGAAAGTTTTCCCCCATATGCTTTCAGATAACGTATACCGTGTCTCTGTTTAAATCTGTTCAGCTAACCGCTGCTCAAAATTGCATGGCTCCTCTATTTTTAAATCAGCATGAATCTGCTTCGCCTTTCCTCTCAGGAACGGTCCTGAAATTGGTACTCCATCACTCCGCCGTTACCGGAACCACTCATACAAGACAGCATCGAGGTTTGCTGATTTTGCCTCATGCAAAGATTTCCAGTTTCGCATTCCGGTGTTAGAATCACTGTTGCTGTAAAATTTCAACAGTTTTTCTTTATTTTTTCGTATATCATACAAAGTCCGTGTTGCTATTGTATATGATTCTGCTACAAAGCGAGGAGTAGCACCTGCCTCCATCTTTTGCAGAATTTCCACTTTTTGCATCACCGTCAATGCAACATGTTTACATTTTTCAACGTTGCAAACAGTAAAATCATGAGTGCATTTCTTATCTGTCATTATATTAAAAAGCGCTGAAATTTAAAATATCTTTAATTGATCCACAGAATATCCGGATAAAAAAAAAAGGCAGCACTAAACAATAACAAAGTTCAGAAAATACAACAACGTGAATCGTGAACTTGAAAGAAGATTTGAGTGAATCATCTGCTTTTTTACCTCGATGCAGATTGCAGGGGAAAAACACTTTTATTTTATCATAATGTCAATAATTTGCTATTTCCATTATGACTCATTATTATTTGGTAATTATGATGTCATTATTTGGTAAGTATTTTTTTTCCGATATTTCGTACTCCATGTTGTGGTTTCCGGAACCTATAAACTCAATGTTTATATTTTGAGAGGCAACGTGGATTTCAGGTCCGCGGATTTTCGGTATCTGACTGTATTTGAAACTGATAGGAGTAAACCGATTGGAAGCCATGGCACCTGATTGGGTCAGATGGAGAAAACTTAAGAGAGGCTGTCTTGGGCTGTAGAGCTTAAGAACCTTCACTAACTTTACTTGTATAACCTAACCAACTATTATTTTAACTAATATAATTTTTACTAGAAAAGTTTTGAAACTTTTACACCACAAAGAATATTTATGAATGTAATTTGTTAAGTAGTTTTTTCTCGTCTTTAATATATATAAGACACACTACTTATTTCACACCCATCATATTATATCATAAAGATTAAAAAAATCAGCATTGTCAGGATATAATCTATAAGTCTGTGAAAAGTCTATGGTTTGATGTGTTTTCTTTGCTGTTCTTTGTGACAGCGGTGCATTTAATTACACATTACAATAAACTTGATAATAAATGTATCATTTTAAAATATTCACTGATAGTATCTGATATCACTTCATTCCATAAATCTCTGATTAATCTCATTACATTAAGAACATTGAGTTTAAATCTCAAAATTAGAAATTTTGCTTTCATATTAATCCATACTTAACTAATAGTACAGTTCTACATTTCACTTTAAATAATAAAATGATTACCACAGAACAGCCTTCATTTTCCATATCCAGTAAATTGGTACAATTTGGAAGAAAGAAACAACTTTCATACTGAAGTGAATGAGAATAATTTTAACTTGTCGAGATGTTATTTCCAGATGAAATCTATCATTTTACAAATGTGCGATTTTAGATGTGCTTTTATCTTTTCCAGGTTTTAGGTACGTTATTTTCATATGTTTTAGGTACGTTATATAAGCTAAACTGGCTAACATTCTGTACAAGGGAATCATAAAGAGGGGAAGAAGAAATTTTTGATAATTTATTAGATCAGGATTCTAATCTTTCCTTAAAGCTTCTACTAATGAAATAGTTTTATTTATATTTTCCAGTTTTAATGAAAATTTATATCATAATAGTTTTCTAACAAAATAATAATAATACATACGGGCCACTCCACTTCATGGACTCCATGTCTAAGCAGTGCATGTCATTCAATCTGAATCTGTCATGTCGACCTCCAAAAATATAAACTTTTCCATTCATGACAGCAGCAGCATGTGCAGCTCTAGCACTAGGAAAGTTTCCCTAATAAATAAAAAATTAGGAAAGCATAAGAATTTTTAGTAAGTCATTCGCACCAACCAATTTTTTTTTTTTTTTTTTTTTTGAAATCCAAGTTAAAAAAATAAAAAAAGGGATATTTCTAAAATTGTATTATTACTGTATTTCTTGAATGCTAAGACAGACTCCTTCCTATAAATTCATTAAAACTGGGATGAATTTTACAGCAGCAGATTTTTTTATTATTAATTATTTGAAAGACTTAGCAAGCAATGATGCTGTAGAATAGGTTGATAGTCTAGAATGCTGAAACATGGCATTTCATTCATTGTATTCACTGTAATAAAAATGACTTAGAGGTAATGATAAGAGTACGCAGATAGCAGAGAAACGTACATTGTAGATCCATAATAGTAAACTGGCAGCCCACGCAGATTAAATCTCCACTTTTATTTCAGTATACATATTATGACTATACACAACTTGGCATATTATTTGTGCCTATTTCAAAATGCTTACATTTTTTATGGTTTTGTAATAAGAAGAGAGGAGGAAGCTGCAGTCCAGCTAAGCTGAAAAGTAAAAAGCAAGTGTGTTTTGTTCAAGATGAAATCTTAATTCAGACAGAGTTAATTTTGGTTCTCAATGCATTTTGATTGAATAACTAATACTACTGCAAAATTACTATGGGCAGTTTTAGTTCCATTTACATAATCAGTGTTATGTAAGAGTCATCTCGGAATGACACAGTGAAAAAGAAAAACTAGAGAGAGATCATTACTTTTAGAATAGAGAGGGCAAATGAATTTAATTTAATCATTAAGAGGCTCTTCCTAATCTAAATTATAATTTATCTTTTACTTTTTTTATCTCATATATATACATATAACTTGCTTTCACGATTTAAAAATTGCATACTTTCAGGAACATTGATCCGCTACCACTTAGAACAGAAAATTGAATTAATTTTGTCTCTTCCCCTGACGAGATCAAAAACTGATTCATCTCACTGTTCTAATGATACAGTCTTGACTTCATTTTCATTTTAGTTCCTAAAAATTGTTCTTATTGATTCTGTCAACTTTTTCTATTACATTTTGTAAAACTTTGCGAGGTTATAGTTCTAGTATTTAACCCAATTTAATTACAGTATAATTTGCTGCTTAAGTACAATTATTCTTTTAGTTGAGATAGTATTTATATTTTTAAGAAATTTCTTTTCCTACAAACACACACACATATAGGAAGCTAATAATGAGATTTTTTTTTTAAAATAAAGTCTCTACATATACATTACATATATGTAGTATATATACTGCATATCTCTACATACAAACATATACATTTGAAAAATGATTTCACATTTATTCATGAGTTGCACGAAAACAATTTAAAAACAGCAAAATTTTTCAAATTTAAATTTAGTTTGTAAAATAAGAGATTTCATTAGCAATTGACTTTTCACAATATTGATGCACTTAGGGAAATTGCCTAATTTTTACCTTAACAATTCTTCCAAATGATTGGTTATACTGAAAGTTTGAAAAGGGTCTCAAAAAAGAACAATTTCATTTATGAGTCTTTAGGACTTGAACATACTAATTAGACATGTATGTTTCACAATTACATACAATATTACTAATAAGCTTATTTTATGAGGTGATAATGTAATCACAGTCATATGGAATTGTGAACAGCAACTGAAAGCTTCAAAGGTTAGGAAATGTTTAAATATACTTGCTAAGTAAATTGAAGCTGAGGTAGAATAATGTCAGCTTACATTTTGAGATTGTAGAGTTGTGTTGGTATATATTTCATGAGCTATAACACAGTGTTTCACATTTTTCAGAATGACACTTACTGTCTTAGATTTTACAAAACACTCTGCACTGAGTAGATGCGAACCCATGAATTATACTGCGGCTTTTCATTCTCAATAGAAAGCTTCTATTGAGATTCTATTCTCTCGTATAGAAAGCTTTATGTTTTTCATGTCTTAGAATAACTGAAAAAACATTTTAAGAACATGCATCTGCAAGCACGGATATTTTATACACAAGGTTTCTTTACATTTTTTAGTGGAATTATGTTGGTAGAGTAGCAATGTAAATACGTTACAGTGTTAAACTTGTTCTCAGTGTAATAATTCTCATTTTGACATTACGTGTCCTAAACAAAGCAAAAAAGAATGTACGTAAAACAGAGTATTTTCTCTCTAATTGTGAAGAAGTGAAACGGTTCTGCATAGTCATTAGGGTCTAAGGTCAAAAGAGAAAAGTTCATGCTTTGTGCAACTTGGATAGACAAAGCAGATATATTAGAAAAGAAAAAATTATGTCATTATAGAACGATCCATCATTTAGACATGAAACTGTAATACATGTGTTGCTTGGGAAGGGATAAAACAAAAATTGAAGGAACCTAAGGTATTTTTTTCTTAAAGTCGCAGATTAAAAAAACCCATGCACTTGCAATTTTGAGTTCTTTCGAAGAAACAAATATGAGGATTTTTCAAAAGTTAATGACTTAGAATTTTAAAGGACTTGAAATGAAATAAAACAGATTTAACAGGTTCTTTCAGCGAAAAAAATCAAGACTTTGTGATTTTTTTTGGGGGGGGGGGGTACTTTGATTGAGTTGGGGCTCAATCAAATCATGGTTGATGTTTTGGGAAAACTGCTGACTGAAAACTTAGTTGAGCTAGATTCAGGTCTTATAGCCATGAAAAATAAACCTGGGTGCACAATAATTGGGAAACAGAATTCATACACAAGCGGTAGCACTATAACAACTTTGTCAATGCATATTAGGAAGATAAATTGAGCGCATTATGGGATCTTGAAATTATAGGAATAGCTGAAGGCCAAGCACAATTTGTGATAATGGAACCAATTTCAGAGGGAAATTTAATGACATTTCTAAATTAGATTGGAACAAAATTTCTAGAGAAAGATTCATACATAAAATAATTTGGAATTTTATACCACCCACAGCAGCTTAGTGGGAAGGTTGGTTCGCATTGTAAAAGAATTGTTAAAACATATTTTAAATAAATCTGTATTGAGACAGGAAGAATTGAATGCTGTGATCTGTGACTGTGAATCAATTCATTAATTGTAGACCATTAACATATGTATCAGAAGATCCACAAGAATTGATTCCTCTTACAACCACTACATTTCTTATTGAAAACTATTGTTCCCATGCTAGGGATACTGACGAATTTGATTCCCAAAAAATTGAATAAAAAATTAACATACTGATGAAAACTTTTAAACGATTTAAAGAATGCATTTTAGGAAAGAATATCTCGGTGAACTTATTAAAGTTTCCACCATTAAGCTTAAATCTCAACACAGAAGTCTTGTGGTGCAACAGATCTTCCCTTCAGATATACAGGCTATTGGAACAATGTTAACTGAAAACAAGAAAATGGGAGAGGAGCAATCTAACTCTCAGAACCCTTCTGGATTTAAGACTAGTTTGCCTCCTGATGATGTAATAATGAAAAGATATACCTCTTCAGGCTGATGTGCAAAAGCATCTTAATGTCTGGATTTATTCAGCTATGCTTGTAATAAATTTGAGATTTACTTTAAGTCTGAGTGGGGGAAGATGTTGTAAACTGAAGTAAACTGAAGATGAGTTTGATCACCTGCTTCTAGAATGTATGAGAATCAGAGTTAGTCTTACGTTCAGAATGTGAAAAAAACATTTTGGCTGTTGTGTTGGTTCTTGTATGCATTTTATTCTTGCTTCAATAAAGTGTTTTCATGTTCTCTGGAATTAATTTTGACTTTCCGAACTTTGCCAGCCACCCTGCATTGGGTAGATGCAAACCCATGAATTAAATGTAAAGCAGTGCTCCGCAACCTTTTCTCACCTGCGACGCACAAAAAAATCTTTCTGGAATTTCATGGCACACCAAAGAGTTCCGAGTTATCAAGGAAGTGCCGAAAAAATTCAAATGCTGACACACTTACAATCACACACACAACCACACAACAGTGAAATATATAAAAACATTTAAAATAGACATTATTAAGGAAAAAAAGTTGTCATTGTGTATTAAATACATGATAAAAAATTGCAAAATGTCAAATACATGTATTTGATTGCGGCACACCTATATCCTACTCATGGCACACCAGTGTGCCACGGCACACCGGTTGCGGAGCACTGATGTAAAGCACCCTGCATTGGGTAGATGCAAACTCATGAATTTCAGGTTTCATTTTCTTTAATTATCAGAGTATCCATAATTAAGGTTACAAACACAGAACAAGATATTTTAAAATATAATAGATTTACTGGAATGATATTTTATACAAAAATGCCCAATACCATGAGAGATAGCCAAAGGTAACATAACAAGACAAATATAAGGTAATTTTTTTTGGGGGGGGGGCGATATGCAAAATTAAACCCAAAACTGCCAAAACATGACATCTCATATTTCTAAAAAAGGTGGCCACCTTTAATTGCTTTATATGCCTCCCTGCACACCCTTCTGCTGAAAATGAGGTTGTTAGTCATAGCTACAGACTTCCAGGACCCTTCAGGCATTAAAATTCTTGCTTCTGTAAGCATGGAGTCCTGGGAATGTGCTGACATTATGTAATCGGTCTTCCTAGAACATCCTAAACATCCTCTATAGGATTTAGGCCCAGCAACTTCATATATGGCACCAAATGGCAGATACCCTCTTCCTCCAGAAAATATTCACTTGGATGAGCTTTGAGTGGCCTTGCATAATTGTCTCAAAAAAAAAAAAAAAAAAACTTCTCCAACAGCTCCTCAGAAAAGCCTAACATGAAGTTAAAAAAACCTCATCTTTGTAATGCTGCATGGCCACAATGCCAATATTGAAGACATACAGCAATGTGCAGCCATCCAACAAGATGCCTCTCTGCACAACAACTCCATCTTCAGGAACAACTTGTGAGCCCCTCTCTTCACATGAAGACTCTTTTAAAAACTACTTTGTATATTGAATCCCAGCTGCATGCTGAAGAGGATATAGCCTCAATATTTTGTCTAAGAGCTGCGTTCTTGGATGAACAAAAGATAGACTCTCTTCTGCAACCTATACAGAAAGATAGGCACTACTAGTTGCCAGATATAAATGGCCTGCTCTGCTAGGTATCTGTACACCGCTTGCGTGGAAACTATAAGAGAAGTTCAGGCGACAGGAATCAGCATAATATTCATAAATTTGCAAGATTAGCTTTGAAGGTTCTATATTTAAACCTCTATATTTATAAATATTAAATTGATTCTATTGCTTTAACCTTTCCAACAACCGTTATTTGATATATTATTTTTTAACTGAGATTTGCCAGGAAGTTGTTACAGACACAGCACTAAGGTTTAAAGATAGTTCTCTCTTTATGGTGTGCATTTAGTGCCATAGACTGATCCACCATGCTGTGGCACTTGAATGGCCTGAGCCAGGCCTCCTGGTGGTTTTATCCAAGTTTGGGATTAGTGCCATATATGGAAGTCATTATTCAGGACATTCATGAGACCATCACTGATCTCTACCTGAAACTGGTCCGTCTCAAACATTATTGATGGCTTTCGATCAAATGTCTAAACCAGCATTTATTAAACTACAAATTATGCCCACACATGGGATCATACAGTGGATTGTTGGAGTTGCGAAAATTGAATTCAGATACATGAATTTAAAGAAACATTAGTTGCAATCCCTTCAGAACTTGAGAAGTAAATAATAAAGATGGCAATGCTACAAAGTTTCTCCAAGCAAGATCTAGTAATTAGAGATAGGCATCTAATAGGCAAAAAGGGTACGAGTCATTTCTCTAATGTGGCTTTTACTTTCAAAAACTGTGATGGTAATGAGCGACCTCTTTCTTTAATTTGAAATAATGCTTTTACTGTGGAGAAAACAAAACCTTCAAAATTAAACAGGTATCTTGAATCAAAGAATCTTTCCTAAGGTCACTAAAACAAAAAATATTTTAAATGATTGTACTAATCTTCAGCTAAAGGAAAACAATATCTTGGAAATTTATGACCAATAGTGAAAAATATTTATCTGCATCATATGAAGTTTCATATTTAACTGCTAGAATTAAAAAGCCATACACCATTAGAGAAGATCTTTACCTGATACTATTACAATAAATATGGCAATGAAAACTACACTGTCACCAACAGAATTTCTGAAATTAGCAGCAACCAATCTGAACAACTTACTACTCAACTTACAGAATGACCAAGACTTAAAATTCAGTTGGATCAAAATAATGTTAAGAAATAGCTCAGCTGTTAATATATGTTAAATATAGTTATAAAGAAAATATCAAGGAAGAATTGTTATTTTGTCATCCTGAACATACAACAGGGAAAAAGGGAACAATACAGAGGGTGCTTAAACCTTTTTAGAATGATTTCGGGACCATTTAATTAATGTATAAAACATAAAGCATAACTTTTTAAATACTTCATCTAATAGACTTTTATTTTTCCTGGATAATAAGTCTGCATCATGATTTCCAACATAGAAGGGCTTGCCATAAAATTTTCAGGGGTATTGATCTTTATGCATCTTCCACTACTTTTTCAGAGTCCATCAATCATGATGGGTTTGCATTGAACAGCTCTTTTCAAGAGACTATAACTGCAATAGTCCAAAGGTGAAACATCAAGCGATTTCACAGGAATATATTGAAAAGATATATATGCAATGTCTGTATCAGTTTTCATTTCTTTCAAGGAATGCAATGTTACTTTTTGAACTACCACTTGTTGCTTTATCTTGTAAAGTTTAACTCCTAGAAAGTCACTAGTATAAAGAAATGGAACTTCCTCTTTATAGTATGTTGAGCTGATTTTTTTTCTATTCTTTTTAATTTCCCACTATAAGAGAATTCTGCAACAATCATAAAACATTACTGAAGCTTTCTTTGCATTGACAGAACCAGGTATGTATTTGTTTCCTCTTTGCTTTCAATAATGAAACTTTTTTGTTGCAGTCATTTCGGTAAACACATTTCATCACGGGTCACAATGCATTTCTATTTACCTCCTAATAATAGTTTTCATACAGGATTTTACAAATTGTTCTTCGCTGAGCCACATTCATTGAAGCTGGCAAACATTACGTTTTTAACTTATTTGAGTTGTAAATCTAGGTTTAATATTTTATTTACTGTTGCTACAGACACATTTAAGACACAGATGTATTTCTATGCTGGTGGATTGTGTTTTGTTACCAATAATTTTAGAAACCTGAAATAGTATGTGTTTTGGGTATTCGTTTGGCATCTTATTTCCATGTAAAAGTAATGACTGATGATTTTTTCCCCTTTTCAAATAATAATGTTGCTTATTTTGCCCTTAGAAATTTTAATACCATTCATTTCACAATGTTTCTGAACAATGTATTAGGTATATTTCTCTTAATAAAGCATATAAAAGTCTCTCAATCCACAGATTGTTTACATGATACATTTTTAAAGAAGAATAAATTTAAAAATACCAGATGATAATTCTCATTTCAAATAATAAGCTACTGCCAAAAATTTTTATTTCAAAACATTTGCTTTTTTTTTTTTTTTTTTTTTTTTTTTAATTCTATACTGAAATTATTCTAAAAATGTGCAAACTCTATCTGTAATAAATTAACTGAACTTTTTAAAACTGAAGATTTAGAATGGAAAAATTGCATTGAAATATGCAGGGATGATGCGAAAGCAATGGATGAATGAAAATATTTGTTTAGAATTATTTATTAAAGCTGCTGATAATGATCACGTAACTTTTACACACTGACTGATCCAAAGGGAAGTTCTTGCAGTGAAAAAATTTACAGTGAATTCATTAATGTGCTTCAGGATGCTATCAAAATTATTTAACTTTATTAAAAGCTGTGCCTTTAACAGCTGTTTATTTTTAAATCTCTGTAAATACATGGACTCATAAATGGCATTAAATGTTCTTCTGCCATTTAGCACCACATACTTATGTGAAACAACATTCTCAGCTTATTAAATCCAAACACTGTTTAATGCTGGAAGACACTGACGAGTGATATCAAATATAGCACAAAGATTTAATTTGTTATGCAGCAAAAAACAAGCCCACTCATCTCATTAAAACATGATTTTCTTTCGTTAGTTTTTGCATACTTGAAAAAAATCTTACGACCTCTCATATGTATACGGTTTACCTAGGAAACAAATAATTTATGGGAAAAAATTAATTTTTATATTGAATATCCGAGATCACAAAAAGGAGGGGGGGGGACCCAACTCTATGCACAAATTCCACAGACTTTGAAATTGCTCCCTTTCATGTGTTTAAAAACATATTTTTTTAACAATAACTAGTTACAATACATTTATCACTCCCTGAATTATACATCAATTTTTTAAATATTATTGATAGATATGTTGAGTTACTGCAAAAAATGCACTCGTAAATTAAATCTGGATGCCAGTTATGTGACAATAAAGTGAAACAATCAGAAAATTTCTGCTTCACTTATTCCAAATATCAGACCAGTTGCAACGAGATTATAGTTTTTAAAATTTTACTTCACAATGAAAAATAAAACAGAATAAAGTATATGCAATCTCAAATATATGCTGAAATGCCGAAAACATTCATAAAAAAATAGGATACATGAAAATTATACTGACCACTATTTGCAAATGAATCCTGTTTCAAATACAAGACACATTTAATAATAAAAAAAAAACATATTTACTTGCATATTTCTTCCAAGCTTTTTTAGCAGAGGGATCTGAAAATTTTTTTAATATTCATGTAATTTACCCCTTGCACAAGAATATTCAGAAAGTGAGCTCCCCTAAATTTTAAAATGGATTTATTCACAAATGGTCGCCTTTTTCTTACTAATTTGTTGGTGGATTTTGGGCATATGGGCTTTAACTGACGAATAACAGTATTGTGAATAGTATGATGAATATTAACATTGTCATAGTTACCAGTAGCTTGTCATGAATACCTTTCATTTGTTAGCTTCTTGCTGTAACTGTGTTCTTTGGAAATTAAATTATTTACACAATTTCCTCCTCTGAATTTTTACATGATAAAATTAGCAAAAAGGGCAGAATACACTAGTAAATTAAAATTTACAGCTACAGTTTTTACAATTACATTACAAAGTTTATCATACAAGTACTCTGAGATTCATTATTTAAATCTTACCGTGCATACTGGTCTGTTCCACTGATTCTTTTGTGGGTCATACTCAAAAAATTGGTTTGTCCAGCCTCTCTACAAGGAGTTTAAAAAAAAAAAAAAAAAAAAAAAAAAAAAAAAAAAAAAAAAACTTTTAATATAAGATATATTTACATATAGTATATAACATTGCTTTGACATATGAAAATACTGCAAACTAAGATATTTAAATTGACATTATTCAAGTGAGATTTTACTTCCAAATAAATACATATACATGCATAACATAAAGAAAGAAATTTATTTGTATTTCTGTTATAAAATATGTATATGTATGTATAAATAGATATGCTGAAAAAAATTATTTCTAATGATGCTGAAAAAAATTATTTCCAGCAGTTGTGACGAACCTGCATTTATCCATGGCGGCCTGTAGAGCAATCACAAAACATCCGATGGTTCAGTTTTCTAATGCTATTTATTATTCGTTATATTTACATATTTACAACTGTCCTATTGTTAGGTGGACTACCTTCACAGAAATCATGTTGCCTAATCAAACGACATTTCGTTTCTACTTACATGCATTGCGCTACTGCCAAGCAGCGCCCTCTACTTCTCTCTTTACAACAGCAGTGTAGATTTAATTTGTTACACAGCATAAAAACAAGCACATCCCTCTCATTAAACTGTAATTAATTAGATGTGTGTGTGTAAGATAAAAATATGTGAATCAGGTTTATAATTAAATTTAGTAATAACCTCTCACTTCCTCATTTTTAATTTGTGTATTTCCTCTCTATTCTAAAAATCGTAATAATTTTTCTAGACTACATCATTTCTAGATCGATCCATCTCGTATGGCTTGTATAATGCTCATGATGTAGCTAATTCGGAACTTGAACTCAAAATTTTAAGAACTGAAACCTTTCTAACCTAAACCAAAACCTACATATATTTCAGGTTAAATTTGAATAACAAATCAGTTTTTCTTAATGTAACAGCACTAAATGTAATCTTTTGGCATATGAATATCATTTACAAAATCAGTTCTTTGCACAGGGAAAGGAATTTTTAAATTTCTCCTTGTGAATGCTTAATAGTAAAATCGGCTGAAGTTAATAACTGTTGGCAAGGGTAATGTACACATTAAAAGTTACCATGCTGTTTAGTATTCAATTACTAATATTAAAAAAAAAATGTTTTTGACATCGCTGGACGAGTCATTTCTCAGGCTGCCATGAGATGATAGTCATATAGAGATGAAAGCAATCAATAATAACAAATGATTGCCAGTTTGACCTCAGGGATATAAGTTATTTACTAAGAGTAAAATCAGCAATGAACTTTGGTAAAATATTTTGGTTTGAGATGTAAGACAAACAAAAAGGCATCTACAAAGTCAACAAATCATCAATTGTATAGATGTAAGTTAATAAATGATTGTGTTTCTTCAACATAAAGGTATTTATTTTATTTAGCGCTAAACAGAAATTCAGAATTAGGGATCTTGCAAATACTATATTATGAAAAAATATCTACATGAAGCACTAAGCATACAGACACTAATTTCCAAAACTAGCTCTTTCCCTCTTTACGCTTAAAAAATTCTAAATAAAAAGAAAAAACTGGTGGTTCGAAAGTCCAGATACTAAATTATTCTGGATACTGGATTTTGGACATTAATTTTTTTTTTTTATTTATTTATTTTTGTTAAATGCAGATTTGAAATTTTGTTTTAATTACAAACTTTTCATAAAAAGCATAAGTCTTTTCCTTCTCGACATTTCTTACCTCTTTGAAGACCATATCTGCCCAGAGGGCCTTTCATTCATATGACCACAACCGCCCGAAATTCCGATGTAGTTTTCTCCCTTCCCCTAAGGTATGCAGTAGCAGGTACAGTTTCCCCAAATGCATTGTTATCAGTTTATTGTTGACAGCTTGTTCTAAAAGGATTTATTTGTGGTTTCTTATCTTTATTTGTCAGAAGAATAAAGAATGTCATTTGAAATCTTCACACTTCTTAGTGTGTTCATGGATGGGGAAGAAATAGCTGTGACTCTCAAAAACCATTTTGGGTTTTAAGGTACATGTTAGCAAAGGCTTTGGTTTTTAAAAAGATAAACTGTGGATTGCTGCTCCAATGGGGTCATGAAAATTTAATTCAGATACAAGAAATTACATTAAAAAACTTCATCAGCAATATAAATCCCAAAAGAAATCTTTGAACTATCATGTGACTCAAAATATGTATTTCCACAAAAATCTTTAACTGAATTCTAGATTGGAACTGAATTTCGCAGTTTCTAAAATTGCATTAAATGTTCTTCTGTCATTTGACACTACACACTTATGTGAAATGGCTTATCCAGATCCAAATATTGTTCAATACTGAAAAAAATTATTTCCAGCAGTGTAGAATATTGCACCAAGATTTAATTTGTTACACAGCATAAAAACAAGCACATCCCTCTCATTAAACTGTAATTTATTTCCATTAACTTTTATATAGTTTAAACAAATACAAAAATTGCTTCTTTCATGTGCATAATTTTTACTATAGAAATACATACATCACTTATAAAAAAGAAAATTATTTTTATATCTTTATTCTATATTTAATGTGTGGGGTCACAAAAAAAAAAAAACTATAATAAAAAAAGGGGTCATGAATAAAAAACATTTAAGAAGCAATGGCTGTAAAATATTACTTTCCGTAAAATAATATTTTATAATATTCTAACCAATCAAAATACCTACTTCATAATGCATACTTTCTAATGGTGGTACTTTTACTTACCCAAAGCAAATGGTAGAAAACAAACTGAAAATCATAAGCGGCAGCACTGTCAGGGTTTCCAAAACCACCAAAGGTATATAATCTGAGGAAGAAGAGAATTTTTAAATAAGAAGGTGTTTCATATGTTTTGCATAAGTTGCTAAAGTTGAAACCAAATATTTTAAACAGAAAACAATTATAATACACATAATACTATTTATTACAGCAATTTTCAAGGAAATTTCTCTTTACTAAGCTAAGCATTTAAAAAACAAATTTCAAGAAAAGTTGACATTTTTCATAGTCAATATCAATATATATATATATATATATATAAACCAATTTACAGTCAATATTAAAAAAAATGCTCATATATCTTTAACCTTCAATTGTTAAAATAGCTTCAGATGAATTTTGATACACTTAATAATCATCAACACAGCATCACACAAAGAAATCAGCAATATAATTACAAAATGAAGGGGAAAAAAAAAAAAAAAAAAAACTAAACTTTAGTAACTACCATTACCTATAATTTAGTAGGTTTTTAGTATATTCTTTTTGATAGAGAGATGAATAAAAATTTATATAAGTTTAGATTACTGCTGGATAACTGTCATTGTTCCATGAAAATAGCTTAAGCCTTATGTTAACAACAAGATTATGTAAGTTTGAGTAGCACAGCTTTATTTACTCATGCATCTTTTTACTAAATATACTGAAAAAAACTAAGTAATAATTGTAATCTATGATTATCACACAAAAAAGTAGGTGCATAAAATAAAGATAGATACTAGTCTCTTTTATTAATGCCAGTAAAATAAATACAAATCTATTATAAAAAAGATTAAATTTATCAGCATATTATAATACAAACATCTGCAAGCTTCACACAGCACCTACAGCATAAAATGCTAAATAAAAAATTAAAATTTTAAATTCTGCAGCTGTCTTTTGTTACTACAGTACAAAGTCCCTAATTCGGACGTCCATTATCCGGAATGATCTATAATCCGGACCTCAAAACCCCTAAACTTACGCATGCGCGTAAAGCCAGTAAAAGCATTTACCCATGAGTGCTTCCAATAGTGAAAAAAATGACAGGGAGATTATTGAAAACGAAAAAATTTCGATTGACAAGTTATATTCTCGACACAGCAATTACAGGACTTGAACAGTGGAACTTTGTAACTGAACAAGAAATTATGTATGCTTATAGAATTAAAGAGGAAGTATTAGATAAAAAACGAAGCAACTTAAACAACTTACATTGATAGAAATGTTTACTAAAGTAAAAAAAATAAATATTAAGCTTTTTTTTTTTTTTTTCCCTTAAATTTATACCCTTTAGATTATAAATGCTCTTTATTTCATAAATTATGGTTTCATATTTTTCATTGTACAATTTCTGCATGCCATCTTACCAGATTTAAATTGATGATCTATAATCCGGAAAAACCCCTAATCCGGAATCGCCGAAGTCTCGACAAGTTCGGATTACGGACTTTGTACTGTAGTACAGGGAAAGTGAAGTTCTGTAAGAATCAATTATGATATTAAGTCATTTCTGCATGAACATCAATTAACTCAATAAACTGAGCCATGGCAAGAATGAACTTGTAATTTTTCATTGTGTTTAACAAAGTAACTGAAAACCTTAAATACCCCAATAATCTGCAAATGAAATTCACATAATTAATGCATGTATTCCTCTAAGAAGCTCAGAGAAATTATGCCATTTAAAAAAAAAAGTCAACTGTTTGATATGTACAGCAGACTTTTCAGACATTTTGTTTGTTAAAACTCTTCTCATTTTTCATGTCTAGTATTTGCAATACATAGAATAACTATAGAATTTTGGAACTTATAAAAAGCAATATTATTGCAATTGACAGAGAGAGATAACTTCATCTTGTAAACAGATGATCTACATTTATGATATGGATGAATACAGTGTAATATACTATTGACATATTTTCTCTTCCTTATACACTGCCAGCTATCCAAAAGGCAACACAAAGGGCACAAGATACCAAAGCCAAATTTATTTCAACGATTACATATAATATCAATGTTAACTGATTTGAAATACAGCCTTCTTTGAAGTGAGGAAAACAAGAAATCAGTAAGGAGTGTTGCCTCCATGTTTTGTCAATAACCACTGCTAAACACCATGGCTTTAGATGTTGAAAGCTTTGGCTTTTGATGTGTTATTGAGGAATGGCAGCTCATGCTGCCTCCAAATGTAGCCAATTCATCTAGCGCATCCATGAGAGTGGCATGCCTGGCTAGGCATTCCCCAATCATTGACCAGACATGTTCGATAGCCTGGAGAACTGGCAGGCTGGAATAAAAATTCAATATGGTGAACTAAGAAGACGGCTTGTGTGCAACATGTGGTCATGCACTGCCCTGTTGAAATGTGGCTGCATGCAAGCCTTGAAGGTAAGGATAGAGAACAAACACCAGAAATATGGCTGGTAAATGTACCAATAATACATACTAGGGGGGATGTAGGAGTTGAATCTAATACCAAACCACACCATAACTCCAGGTGCAGGATCAGTATGATGATATACGAGGGTTAGAACTTTAATAGTGGCAACTATTTATTTATTTACAAGGAATACAAAAGTGATTCATGTCACCCTGTTTTACAGTCCTTCAATATATTCGCCAGCATTGTGTACAACCCGTTTCCAATGATGTGGAAGTCGCAGAATACTGTAGCAGTGCCTGTTTTGTTGATAGTTTGAATGGACCGGTCTACTGCCGCAAGAATCTCAGGAACAGTTTGGAAGCAAGTGCCACGAAGTGGTTCCTTCATCTTAGGAATTAAGTCATAGTCACAAGGGCTTAGATCTGGGGAGTATGGTGGATGGTAAAGCACTTTCCAGCCCCATCGCTTGAACAAATCAGTCACAGCTTGCGCTGCATGCGGCCGAACATTGTCATGCAAAATGAGAGAAGCATTCTGCAGAAAGTGTCACCGTTTTTTTCTCAAAGCTGGTCGGAGATTGTGCTCAAAAAATGCTCAGTAATACTGTGCAGTGACGGTCTGCTGTGGGGGAACGGTATGCATTAGGATGACACCATCACAGTTGTACACGAGAATGACCATAACTTTCTTTCACATTGCTGGGGTTCTGACGAAATTTCGAATGTCGTGGTGACCCGTGATGACGCCATTCGTTTGATTGGTGTTTCAGTTCTGGCTGGTACGATCGGGCCCAAGTCTCATCCAGCGTAATGATACGGCGTAAAAAAGCATCTCCTTCGCACTCATAGCGCTCCAGATGGGTTCGGGCAGCATCGTATCGTAGCCATTTCTGCATTTCCGTCAATTGATGTGGAACTCATCGTGAAGCAATTTTTCTCATGGACAGGCGTTCCTTCAGAACGTGCAGCACAGTCGTATGCGCTGATCCTGTTTGTCCGGCCAGCTGACGAATCGTTTGGCGGCGATCACTGTCCATTAGTGCGGCAACAGCTTGCACGTCTGCATCGCTGACACTTGGACGACCTGGCCGCAGCATGTCTGCCATGTTTTGGCGTCCTTCATTGAATGCTTTCACCCATCTTGCTACGGTTCTGTAAGGCAATGCAGATTCTCCGCAAGCTTCTTGAAGCCCTTGATGACACTGTCGTGCTGTACGACCTCTGGCACATTCAATTTTTATCCAACATCGTTGTTCTTGTTTTGAAAACATCCTGACAACACTTATTTTAGACCGCGAGCTAATACAAGGATCCGTTCTTCGTGTCACTCCGCATGCGCATGACGTAGGCAGGACGAGTCTTTTTGCTGAGAGGTAAGGTAGGTATGTAGTTTACGTGTGGTATACGCGATATTCTTTGGTTTTGTTGCGTAGCGTTTTTTCAGCTGTGTTGCCACCATTAAAGTTCCAACCCTCGTATAACATAACAATTGAGCAGCCTTTCTCCAGTGTCTCCAAACTCAATCATTGTGGTACTGCAGGCAAAAGTGTGATTTGTTTAAAATACTATGCCATTCAAATGACCTATCTCACATTCCATGCACCATTGCAAATGCAAATGCCTGCGGTTTAAAGTTAGGAAAGCCTAGCAGACAGTTTATTGTACTGCAAACAACATCAAACTGTTCATGCAGATATTGATTGTTTTGTTACAGACTGCACATGTTGTGATATGGCTACAGATATGGCAGAGTGTTTCATTATTTCCTTGCACACAATATGCCCGTCTTCTCGTGCAGTGATGAAACGAAGTAGTTGCAATTTCTCCTGTCTGTTAATTGTTATCTCCTCCATTTAGCAATTCCATATTTGCATGACTATTGCTTGGCTACATCCAACATGACTGATTTTCTAGAAGGATAATCTTCAATCTCAGTACGCAATGATTATACCTAAGTCGAAATCAGAAACATGTTCAAATGATGCTTTCATTTTTCTACGATGTATACCGGAGCTGCAAAAAATTTCATGAGAGAACAATTTAAGTTATTCAAAACAGCAGACTTTCCTCCTTTTACATACAAATTACACGGAGCACTACAATCATCTATGATGTGTGTGCGCGATGAAATTTTAATCACTTGCATAATCCATCATGGTATACATACGATGCAAGTTTTATTCTGTTTGTATATTTCCTTTACAGTATTGCATTTTGGATAGTCGGAAGTTTAATATCCTTTCTCAGAAATTTTTTCCTCCCTTGCTTCCCACTGTAACAATGTAGCATATAATACATGCAGACACACTTGATGTGTTAATTCAGTGGTTCCAAACTTTTCAGAGTTGCGGCACCTTGTTTCAACTAAAAATTTTCCATGGTACCCTTCTTTCCCTAGGCAAAATTATGACTAATCATAAGTAAGAGATAAAATAAACAAAACTTGTGTATCTTCATTTTTAAATATTTTTTAAGTTTATTATTATTGATAATTAATGTAATGGATGAGCCTGTAAATCACCGCATATTTTCTTAAATTGTAAAATTAAATTGGATATGGCCACCCTCAATTCCTTTTCCACACTGATTTTTTGCTTTTTATTACAGCTACCCCCCCCAAATGCCTAACTTTGTACAAAAATACAAGAATGAGAATGGTATTAA